AAATGCCCAAAAAGAATTTTCACTAGCACTTATATTTTATAACATTTCACTATGTCAACTGTTTTCCAAGATGAAATTGTATTAATAACCCTGAGCATTCATTTCACTGCATTTTTACTGCTTACTCTTCTCACTCAACCTTCGTAAAATATTTTCCTTTAGCTTGTCTTAGTGTATGCTAATCAAGAGAGAACACGAAAAGTCACTATTTATAGCCCCTGGATGAAATCACGTTTGTAAAAGGCATAAGGAAGAATAAGATAAGTGTTAAAACAGTGATATAAACACTAGGTTACAGACAAGACCAGTTATCAGACCTGCTGGGGATCCGAAGTGCATGTTGTTACATACAAAATACTGTTGATAGGAGTAATTTAAAAACTGACTGGAGGCATACAAAAGAACATCAGTGAGCATCTTTAACTTCTCTGAAATAAGACAGCTGAGAGATAAAGCTGTAAGAGATTTTGTGCTTCAAGCTAAAACACCAAAGCAGTATCTGTAAAAGTATAAAATGTATATTCACTTTCAGGTTTGGAAAGATTGAGATTGTATCATTTTGCAGCACAGATTTTTAGGCAGCACCAGGAAATCAAGTTCAGTTTTCATTTTTCCTTTTCTTTCAGTGACAGCATAAAACGAGTCAGCCCCTATGATTTTAATCCTTCAGATTAAATGATTGCTCGCCCCAGGTAGAATCTGTAGCGCCTGGGCCTGCTGCTGGCCTAAACAATGTGACAGTATGGGGAAAGGCAAGACTTTCACTGTGGTTTCTTGGTACATTCCTTCCACCTGGTTGTGAACATGCAGTGGCCTACTGGGCATCAAAAGAAGCAATTCCTTTGCTGCTACAGAAATCCAGACAAGCTGGGAAGCTTCTATATTAACATTTCTGCAAGGAAATGTTTGAACTCCCTGACTCCTTAAGGTACTGATTGCTATCAGCCAGGTCAGCAAAATGTTAATAGAGGCAAAGGGAGGGCAATTCACTGCTGCTTCTAGCAATAGCTTAACTGTAGAGGCTGCTCTCCTTTATGGAAAGAGAGAAAAACAGTATGACAGGGACAGTCAGACACAATTTTGAACATGTCAAAATATTAGAATCTGAAACTGTATGTGGTTTCAGTTCATAGGGAAATTCAGTTCACGAAAGGGAAATTTGCACATAATCCTAAGGTTTTGTGTTTCCTAGCCATTTTCAGACATTTTCAGCCAAGGAACTGCACTTTGCAAACTGTATCATGAGGGCCAACCATTCAGTATTGGTTGTTTGAAGACCTGCCTGAGATGGGGTTCCTAAATCTGTGTTTTCCAGAGTAGGAGCTTGTCAGCAGCCTTACTTATTATCAGTGTTGTATTCTAAATGTTTGCCAAGAAACTTCTCAGGACTCTGAATTCTGGCTACTGTTCAGTTCTGAAGGTGTTTTCGGGATGAATCTCCACGCTTGTTTTTTTTCTGGTAATCAGAAAGCTAGGTCTCTAAAGGTCGTAAACATACCTTTTTTTTTTTTTTTTTTTTCCTAAGGCTGCTTTAAGTCCCAAATGCCCAAAACTCCTGCTGAGTAGCCACTTAATGTTGGAGGCACCAAGGGCAAATTCCTTTTCCGTATTTCAGTTTCTCTGCAGAAACCTAGGAGAGCTCTGCAGCTTATTACACACATCCTGTGTGCCTTCATGAGAGATTTCCCTGCTTTGGATGGTGTACGGGCAGGATGTCTGCTTGCCACCCTGCTATTCCTCAACTTGTAAAGGATGTAAAGGAGCTGTACAGATACTTTGAACATGGACACCTTGCAGCAAACAACTGTTTGTGTCTATGGAGATGGTTTAGATGCTATTTAACAAGATTTTCAAGTCTGTACAAACAAACAGATTTGTTTTTCTTTGCAGTTCTTCCGCTTTAACCCTGATCCTGCATGGGGAGTTTATTTGGTAGAGAAGCTTGACCTGCTTTTTTTTGCTTATATTGCGTTTTTACTCGCTTTTTGGTAAATACAAATCACCACCTATTTCCAAGGATCAAAGATCCTGAAATTTTAGCTAGCTTAAGGCAATTTATTATGCCTAAAGGAAGAGATTAAGACTGTCTGAAGGGAAAGAAATAACACCCCCACAACACTGTATAAACAGAAATAATTGCATTTGGCAACGAAGCAACTCAAGTGCCATTTAGATTTTTGTGCACTTTATATCAGCCATTCAGCCATCAAATAATTCAACATACAAAATGGTATCTGGCAACCTTGGAGTATTTTATAGAAACCTGTATGACATATTTAGACATTTTTATAGAAAGCTGCATGCCTACAGAGGATAAACAGAGACCTCTTGAAAGAGCAGCCTCTATTTTCCTTTCTCAGACTTCAGTTTCAAGCTGAGCCTCAGGTGAATCGCTGGGCTAAGATGCTCATTTTCTGCAGCAGTCTTCCCAGTGACATTTTTTCCTGTTCGGAAGGGCATTCTACAAGTTTTCTTTAACTTATTTTTCCCACATTGCTCTTGATATTGTGGGAAGCGTCTTCATATCTGATCAGATAGGAGAGCATTACCTTTCTTCAGCTTGATAAAGCACACCTGCCTGGAAAACAGAAAGCTATACAGCATTTTATTCAAGGTTTTCCCCTATCTACATATTCATGCTGAGAGAATTAACTAAATAAAACCAATCTAGATCCTAACTAAGTTAATTAGGAAAGAAATCTCAAGAGCTCTAAATTTACTAAATATCTTAAGCAGGGGGATGTATGTTTTTTGTGGTACTTGATACAAATAAAACCTTTCAGTGGATTACCTCAGGTACTGAAAAAGGAAAAGATGCAATGGCTGATTAGATATATTTTTAAGATTACTAAGCTACTTTGCATATCTCTAAAACTACTATTACTGGCTAGCTTTGGGTCACACAAATAGGGACAAAGATTAGCCCTAACTTACTACTGTCTAGTAGAGGACAATGCAGCAAAAATCAGTATGAGTTTCAGGCTTAATGTTGTGCATAATCACTCAGTGCTGCCATCCGCAAGGAAGCTGAGGCAACTTTCCAGCCCTCTGCTCTGACATGCTTCCAAACACCATTCGGAGTCACTGAGTCAAGAAAGCTGTATCTGAGAAGATGTGGGATTGACAAAGTAAATACTCTAAAATAGAGCAGATGACCCTGATCTTGCTGCAGGCTGTTGCAACCATATCTTTCTCATAGCTGAAGTCTTCACCTCTTCTATTACTGGACTGGCATGCCTAATAATGCATAGAGATTTATGATGCCTATATGGTTTGCAGGGCAGAGGGTTTAGACCATTTTCCCAAGTAAGAGCATTCCTGTATGCAGCATTCAGCTCCTGTAGAGCACAACTGGGGACACAAGCAAGGAAGAACCGTCATCTAACGGCAGGATATTACATTTAGGGTTGAAGGATCCTTAGCAGTGGTGTGATATTATGAGATTTGCAATATATGGTTTGGTTTCCCTCAAACCTCTAAGCACAGACATTAATGTTTCATGGTTGGTAATGTTTCCTAGCTCTAATACAAAGCACAGCCAAGGTAATGCTATGGATCTGCTTTGAGAAGCTGGGATGCTGCGTGCGCGCACTGTGAATGTAAGTTTGACTCAGCCTTCAATTTGAAACCTTTAAAAGTATTTTCCATAAGGTTTCAGACAGAATTCTTACTGATACTTTCAGTAATGTTCACAATGTAAGATGGGAATAAGACACTAAACGATTCCAAAAAATAGACATCTTTTAAGAAGTAAGTTTACTAGAAATGTAAGATAACCACATTTTTGTCTGTATTCCAGGTCTTACTATTTTTGCAGATTTATTACGGACAAAACCCGTAACAATTATGCACAGCAGCGGAGCAGTTGTTCTCCTAGAGCACCACCACTGATCCCAGGGGAAGGAATGCTGGCGTGGCAGTACATACCCCATGTAGCTTCAAAAGTCTCCCCAAAAGGCAAAAGACCAGGAATAAAGTCTATCACGGTTCTAGCATGTTCAAAAATGCATCATCCCTTTGCATTTACAGCTGGAAGAATCCTCTGGAAGTCAAACTTTTGGAAACATCTTTCTAGTGAAAGGCATTCATTTTAACTCTTTGCTCTTTCTCCTCCCCTCCATAAGGACAGTGAAAAATAAACTAACATCTTCATTGTAATTAAATTCTATTGCAATCACAAGTGAGCAGATTCAGGCACCTTCATTTAAAACAAAGTAGAAGCAATACCAAAAAGAAGGTGATTTTTTTTTTTTTTTTTTTTTTTTTTTTTGGGAGTGAGTGTAAGAAATAGTTTCTAATCAAACAATTGAATTCTGGTTTCAGTTTCTGGACTCATTGCAATGGGACCACAACTTGCATGAACTTCCCTGTGACAAAATGAAAACCCCTGAGCTCAAGCACCTTTAAAGCAGAGACTTAACTGGCTCCCCTGCCCCCTGCTAGAGCAGCTCTAGGAAATGAAGCCATTTAGCTGGCACTTGCAGAAACGGGACTTTTACTGCTCATGTCCAGATGCTTTCTAGGATGAAACCCTGTCACGATTGAAAACAGCAGGTTCAGATGACTGCTTTCCAACTCCCCGCTGCCCCGCGCTTGCAGGAAAACCCCCCATATCCAACACTTCCAGCACGGATACAGGCTGGGAAGCCGCCCCGCGCCGCGTCCAGCCCTTCCGCCGGCGCC